GCACCTCCTCTGAGTCTCAGTGTGCTTTTCTCTTTCCTTCTAGTTGTAGAATTTCCACTCAGCCAGCCTTCCTGTGGTTCTGGATGATGTCCGTTTTGTCTTTTAGTTGTATTTTTGAAGTGGTTGTGCGAGGCAGCAATTTCCAGTGTTTACCTATGCTGCCATCTTGGTTTCTCTCCACTCTTGGTGTTTTGAGCAGTTAACCACACTCCTGTTTCATCCACAGACAAGGAGGGAGGCTCTGCCCCAGCAGGCTGTGTGCTACAGGACAGGGTCTGAGAGTGCTTGCTGTGGGCATCTCAGATGGTGGCATGTTTTGCTCTGTCCTGAGCTTCTCGGGGCCCTGGACAGCTTGTTTTCTGGGATGTGATTATGCAGTGATTCCACTAGATGAGCCCATCCTATGTTTCAGTCAGTTGGTGAGGAAGCAGAGTGGACCCTCAGAGTGTAGACCAGATGCTGAGACCCTGAATGAGGCACTCAGAAGCTGGGGGAGGGAGGGTTGTCCTAGGTTCCCACGGCACCCATCACTGGAGGCCGTGCCATCCCCCTGTTCCTCATGGCTTGCAGACTTGGCAGTGGGGAAGCAGGCAGCGTAGGGAGGAGGATAGGGGCCTCCCCATACTTCCTCACTTCTCCATGACCAGAATTTAGTGACAAGGTGACACCTGGCTACTGGGGAAGTGCAGAGACAGTGTAGAGCTTGACCCTGGGACCACATCGGAGAGGTTGCCCATCCTGCTTAATAAGGAGAGTGAGACCCTCCTGCCTCAGCTGCTTTCCTGCAGATGACCTGCAGCTCCTGAGACTGGCATAGGGCTGGTCTCTTGGCATCAATGGATGGATGGAGGTGTAGGTGTAGCTGTAGCAAGAGGGACAGATACTTATTGCTTGGCCTCTGCAGACCCTTTTCCCATCTCTCAGGTCCCTGTAGCAACTCCCACGGTCCCTCCAAACTTCTCGCTGTTCCGTCGTCCTGGAGTGGAACCCATCCTGGAGTGGGGTCCTTTGTCTCCTGTGCCTCTCTGTGAACCTCTGGTACATCTACCACATCGCTGGCATGTCTGCCTAAGGAGGCCGGGCATGGCCACCTCCAGTGGTTTTGGTGCCAGTGTCTGCCTGGGGCTGACATCAGCCAGACCACCTGGAAGGGTCTTGACCCAGATCTCCCCACAGTTGCTCTAGCTCAGTGGCCATAAAGTTTCAATCGCACTGTACGTGTGTGCCCGCACATGGTATTTTGTGGAAGAGCCACACTCAAGGGGCTGCAGTTTGCCGACCACTACTCTAGCTGCATGGTGGTAGCCTCTTCCCCAGTGGCCACCCCATGCTGAACATGCTTGTGGGGTGGCCACTCAAATCTCTTCTCCCTTTGCTCCCCCCTTCTGTGAGGCTGCTGTATACTGCTGACAAGCCTTCAGCACATAGTCCTGGTGCTCTGTGGCTTTGATTAATTAATCATTGCTAAACGTGCATTTATCTGGAAAATATGTGTGTGAGTGTTTTACTTTTTAACTTGGTTACAAAATTTAATCTTTTTTTTCTGTCGTAAGTTTATGTTGTTAAATGCTTTGTACTTTTCTCTAATAGAGGGGAAGTTCACATGATCTCTGTTTTTGACTCTTTTGTGGCTCCTAAGTAACTGTGTTATCTGTATTGTAACCCCAGGGGGGACAGCATTCCAGGAGGAAGCCCACCAGCCCAGGAACAGTCATTGCCTGAGGACCAGGGGAACATTCCAGAAAGAAGGCCACCAGCACAGGAACAGTCATTGCTTGAGGACCAGTGTAACATTCCAGAAAGAAGCCCACCAGCCCAAGTATCGTCATCGCCTGAAGACCAGCAGGACACTGTCTTGGAGAAGCAGGAACATACAGGAACAGAGAGCCTCAGACAGGAGCTTTTGAGGGGAAGCAGGTCTGCCTCAGTGGACATAAGACCCTTTGCTTCCTGTGAAGATTCTGAAGCTCTGACCCCAGCTGAGGACAGGAGCTGGGGTGAAGTGTGTGACCTGTCCCAGGAAGCACAGCTGGAGTGCATGGGTTTGAGCACTGCCAACCATCAGGCTGATGCTGCGGGACAGCTAGCAGAGGTGGGCCTCCCAGTGCTGCACCCTGGGTATGGGACTGAGTGGAGCACACCCCAGGGGAGCCCAGCTACAGTCGCCTGTCCCTCGGGGCCCTCGGGGACAGCGCAACTCTCACTTTCCATACCTTTGGAGGAGCAGTGGCTGGGAGCACAGGATGACAGGGAGGAGCTGCAGACTTGCTTACTGAAGGAGCAGCTGTCCAAGTCGAGCTTTGGGAGACCTCAGGATATCTCCTCCATTGAGCTGGTCCCGGCGGAGCATACTGCCTTCTCTGCCCCTGTGTCGCTGTGTGACCTGGGAGGCAGAGACCTGTACAGCGGCCACTCCGGCAGCTCCTCAGCCTGCTATGCCCTAGCCACAGACCTCCCCGGTGTCTTGGACACAATGGAGGCCCCAGAGGCTGATGGAAATTCCTTTTTATGGAACCTCAGGGAAGTGTTTTACAGCCGGTGGACAGACCGAACTTCTTCCAACTGTTCCTGTGCCTCATCTGAGCTCGTGGGGACGGCCTCCCCTTCACTGGCTGGCTCCGATGTGGATGTGAGCACTTTGCATGGGCACAGGGCAGAGGTTCTGGATGACAGGGAACTGTTGTTGCTGACTGGCACCTATTTCAATCTTGGTGAAGGCCGGCAGTTCTGTGAGACCCATCTGGGCCTCAATCAGACAGAACCATCTGACACCTCAGAATGTGAAGACGTGAGTGGCCGAGAGAGCCCTGGCTGTGTCCTTCCCAGTTTGGAGTCCAGCCCCATGGACATGTGCCCGTTAGAAGAGCCCAGGTCAAGCATCCAGGTCACCTCCACACCTGTGAGAGGGGATAGCTCGGCGACATCCGGGACCACTAGCCTGCAGCAGGAAATCCAGGAGGGCACCTACTTGGGGAGCTGCTGCCACAGAGACGGCTCGCTGCTGAGTATGTCCCCGGGGGTTGTCCCTAGAGTGCAGCTGGGTGCAGGCATCCTCGTCCCAGAGTCTGATGGCTCTCCACCCTAGTAGTTCTGGCAGAAGTGATGTATTCAAGGACATGAAGTTACAACTTACTTCTTGCACATCAGGATTATAGTATGCGTTCCCAGAACAGGGAGCCCAGGTCCCACTAGGGCTGCAGAGCAGGACGGGGTGATGTCCAGGGCCAGGCTGCTGTATCTCTGACTGGCTTCACTCTGGGAAGGTGTAGGGATTAGGCCCATGCACTTGCCTATTTGAGGGTGATTGCTTTCCTTTCCTTCCTTTTTTTTTTTTTTTTATTAATACCCAAGGTTATTTTATTTCATTTTTATTTATTTTATGTATTTATTTTAGAGAGAGAGGAAGGGAGAGAGGAATGGAGAGGGGGAGAGAAAGAGAAACATCAACGTGAGAGAGAAACATTACATTGCCTCCTGTGCTCACCCCGACTGGGAGTCAAACCCACAACCTTTTGGTGTATGGGAAGATGTGCCAACCAAGCCACTGGCCAGGGCTTGCTTACTTTTTAATTTTCCTAATTACTTAATAGGTCATATTATTTTAGCCAGTAGTTTATGGTTTTGTGTTGTTGATTCCTAAGGCTTTTCCCCTAAACTTTAAAAACTTATTTAAGTAATACATACGTTATTTTAAAAAAATATTTGAAAATATAAACAAAAAGAAAATAAAATCATCTGTAAACACCCCTCCCCCCATAAAAACCTCTTTTTTGGGTATAGGACCTGGAGGCCATGTAAAAGTGCAGGTGTGCACAAGCGCAGAGCATGTGTAGTTCAGTGTAACTCAGGGACCCACAGCCGGCACATGTGTGTGCCTCCGCTGGGTCATTTACATGCCTCCACCGAGGCAGAGCCTCCCTGTTGAGGGCAGGTTTTCCAGGCTTTCCTGAGTTGGCAGGTGGTTGCTGGTATCCCTGAAGTGCTTCCCTGGCTCTGGCTGCTGCAGATGTGCCAAGCCGCAGGCTCCACACCAAGTGGAGGTGATGCTGCCGCTGTGCTCAGCCTGGTGCTCTGTGCCCCCCTGCCCCCCTGTCCTCCTGCCCTGGGTGTTCTGTATGGTTCTGTGCTGCCCAGGGTGTGTGCTTGTTTCATCATGATGCTGTCTTGGTGAAGTCAGCAGAGGGCTGTGCGTTTTCGCCTTCCCCTCAGGTGTTCAGTTTGAGGTGAAGCGGGTGGAGCTCCAAGGCCCTGCTCCCCTGTTCTGCTGCTGGCTGGTGAAAAACCTCCTGCATGGCCAACAGGCCTCGGCCACTCACACCCAACTGCTGCTGGCCAGCCTGCCCAGCTCCACGCACTCCGCGTGTGAGCATCCTGGACCCAGCCCAGGGGAGGTGGGTATGTGCAGCTTGCTCTGCCTTGTAGTTGCCTGTCTGCATGGAAGTGTCTTCCTATCAGCATCGCTCTCTGTTTCTTCTGGGAAGGATGGGAGGAGGCTTTTTAACTCTGTCTTCTAATGTGCAGGATGGGGTGTCAACATGCTTCAATGTGGGTACTAATTTGGCTCTCAGGCTGGGTTCCCAGGGGCACGGGAGGAATGGGCTGCACAGGGTTTGGGTGCTGCTGTCCATATAGCTGCAGGGAATGGGGGGTAATGCACCCATCTGCTACCGCCTCCTTTCTGATGGTTGCATGTGGCCCCTTATACCTTCCTTCACCCACACAGATACTTAGAAGCAGACCGTGGTTTGAGGAGCCCCCCAAGGCAGGGGAGTTGGAGGGGCTGGCAGCCTGTGAGGGTGCATACTCTCACAAGTACAGTACGCTGAGCCCACTGGGCAGTGGGGCCTTTGGCTTCGTGTGGACTGCTCTGGACAGGGATCAGAATAAGGAGGTACTTGGGCCCTTGGGGACAGGTGGGGCTGGACCACCTCGGGTGGTCCCATACCTCTAGTCCTGTGTCTGCCTGCCGGGACTCAGTGGGAAGTAGTCTTCTGTGCAGCATGCGGCCAGCCCTGCTTGGGGTCTGGATGCTGGGAGGAGGTCTCTTCAAAGCAAACACACACAGCCCTGCCCGTCCCTCTGGCTGCTTCAGACACCATGAATGGCATCCATGCTCCTTCGTGCATTAGGGCTACATCTCCTTGACTTCCAGGTTCAGACCTGCAGGGCTTCTTCCCTGGCTGGTGATCCTGGCCATTTCACATATTCTACTGCTGGATGAGCCTCAGAGCCAGTCCTGTGGAGAGGTGACTTGTAGTTGCCAGTGCGCGTGTGATTTGGGGATGTGACATTGCTGCCTGTCCCTGTGAACATTGTCTGGTGTCCCCTGCCCAGGCTGCCAAGTCCTGGGAGTGCCATGCTTGCTGGAAATGATCAGAGCTGCATGCCTGGGCTGATGCCTGGTCAGAAGTCTGCAACTGTCTTCCTGCTTCTGACAATTGTTCAGTGGGTCCCTACATGAACGATCATTCCTCTGCAGTCATGACAATTGTCTCTCCTTTTCTGTTTGTGTCTCCTCAACTTTTCTTTTCTTCCCCTCCTGTAACTGGGGCAGGACCTGCAGAGCCGGTGAAGTGACAGGTATGCCACTGGTCTCTTGCTATTCCCCTGCCCTTCGAAGACACCCCTTTTATTTCTTGATGGATATCTTTTGTTTGAGGAGATTTTATTTTCAGTTCATTAAATTGTTTTTTGAGAGTGAGTGTTGAGTTTTATGAATTGCCTTTTCAGCATCAGTTGAGATGACCATGTCTGTGTTTACTTTACTATTACACTTTCAGGGGACTATCATTCATTGTACTCACACCACTTTTCATATATTGATCTCGTGTTCATTAACCTTGCTGGGCACATCTAGTCTCAGAATCGATGTCGATAATGGTTTTTGACTATTTTCTAGTTCTCAGGCATCTAGTTCCATTTTCTTGCCCAGTTCATCCAGTTCTCAGTTGAGAAATCAGGGTGAGATGGGGTGTTCTGGGGAGCGTCTGCTCCAAAGTCTCCGAGGCCTCCCTTTCCGGTGAGGTTGTGGCTCCTCAGCCCTTGGGCTCTGTGCTGTCCCATCCACCCACTGTATATGTCCTCATGCCGCAAGGGCACGTTATCATGTTCTTCTTTCATGTCCCTGGGGGCCAGGGGATTAAAGTGGGGGCCTTGCCTGCCGCTGTTGAGCAAGTGTGAGTACCAGGTCCCATGGGGCAGCTTCTCCCTTCTCCTTTCCTCATAGGTGGTGGTGAAGTTTATTAAGAAGGAGAAGGTTCTGGAGGATTGTTGGATCGAGGATCCCACACTTGGAAAAGTTACGTTGGAGATATCGATCCTTTCCAGGGTGGAGCACGCCAACATCATCAAGGTGGATAGTGGTTCTCTTTGAGAGAGGCCCTGATAGGACTCACAGGAGCATCCTAAACATGCCTGAGGCATCTGGGCAGTGCCGGACCCACATTGTCTCTTCCTAGGTCCTGGACATATTCGAGAACCAGAGCTTCTTTCAGCTGGTGATGGAGAAGCACGGCTCTGGCCTGGACCTCTTTGCGTTCATCGACCACCACCCCAGCCTGGATGAGCCGTTGGCCAGTTACATCTTCCGACAGGTGACTTGGCCCGGAGCTGTGTAGGGAGGGTGGGCTGGGGCGCTTTGTCCTAGAGGCTGTACTCAGTCCTCTCTGAGTTACGTCTAGCCTTCAGTTTTTGAGAAGAGAATTTTGTGGTTGAAGTAGAGATAGTGAGGTTGGGAAGGAAGGATGAGGCCAGATACCTGGAATGATTGGGGAATGATTGAAGTAGGGTTAATGATTGAAGTTTATTTACATATATAGATTATCCACACCATCCTCAAAGTGAGCCAACAGAGCTGTCAGCCTGAGCTCTTCGACCTGCAGGTTTGATCTGGGTTTTTGCCTACAACCAGGAAACCACTGCTGACTTGTGCAGCAGCAGTCATTCTAGTGCCTCCACCATGAGGCTGTTTGGGTTAAATGAGGGAGCACCTATCTCTAAGGCGTACGTGAAGCACGGCGGCCTGGAGGGGCGTGTGGACAGGCGTGCAGCAGGGAGTCCTGAGGGCGGTGTGTTGCAGGATGTCCTGGACAGGGCGGGGATGTGAATAAGGCAGATTTGCTCTTAGACTGTCTAACAGTCACTTGGAGGTGACTCAATCTCTAAAGACAACTTCCCTGCATTGACATTGCTTCCTGAAAGCTATAAACTCCCAGAGGTTACTGGATTTCTGACATTAAGTTTCTGAGGTACCTACTTGTAGTTTCAGGCACCGTGGTTCTGTGCAAGGAATGTTACCTCTCTCCCTCTTCCTTGTTGGAAGATCATATACTCGTCTGCTTTACTTCATAGCAAAGATTTGTTTCTGAAATCTTCATGGTTAAAAAGAGTGTCTGTCTGAGATAACAGTAGTTAAAAGCTGCCGCCTGACTTAATTCTGGGGCTACTGATATAGGTGATTATAGTGTTCGATATTGTACAATTTTTAAAAAATATATATTTTATTGATTTTTTATAGAGAGGAGGGGAGAGGGATAGAGAGGTAGAAACATCGATGAGAGAGAAACATCAATCAGCTGCCTCCTGCACGCCCCCCACCAGGGATGTGCCCGCAACCAAGGTACATGCCCTTGACCAGAATCGAACCCGGGACCCTTGAGTCCACAGGTCGACGCTCTATCCGCTGAGCCAAACCGGTTAGGGCGATATTGTACAATTTTTGCAGGAAGTATCTGTAGCCCATTAGTAAATCAATATACATAATATTATAGTAAACAGAGTCATTTTATAGAACTATTATTATTATATGTAAATATGTATACATAATGCCTGTTATCAGTGTGCTGCCTGCTTGGCTGGGGAGTGGAGGGGTGGCGAGTGGGACCTGTGACCAGCTCTCCTGGCATCTAGGGCATTGGGGACTAGCAGCAGGTCTGTTTTTTGTCCAGGGTCAGGTTCTTTTACCCCTTTGTAGTTATAAGCTTGATGAAACTTTCCTTGTTCTGATGAAATGTGGTCTGTTTCCTGACTGGGCCCTGATATGTGTGTATGAACATAAGTGTGTGTGCTCATGTATATGTATGCATGTGTATGTACATGCATGTTATAAAAACATGTTTCAATATATAAATATGCAGGTGTTTGCATACATGTGTATATAAATACATTTACTGATTGTCAGTTAACCTATCATTAGCCATTGCTTCTGGTTCATACTCATTTGTAAATATACATTCATGAAATCACTATGCTGATGGTACAACTGGTGTCCAATTTATGAATGTAGCCAGAAAGTACCAATCTACTTCAGCTTAATGGAACAGCTACCTTTGTTGGTGGCTGTCACCAAATAGGCAGTGTGGGCCATCCCAGGCCCAGGGGACAGCAGTGTATTATAGTAACTTTACCCTTTCGGAGTGCAGGCTAACACCTTGGGCTCAGGAAATGGAGCCGATTCCAATGGAATTACTCTGAGTCCACGTGGCTGAGAGTCCTGCATGCATTGCAGCCAGTGTGGCTGCTGCTGCTTTTTGAGAAGCTGCAGAGCCCTGAAATAATAGTTTGGGGATGTGGCTTTGTGCTTAGGTCTGCTCCAAAACTGCTGCGTGAACTCTGCTGAATCCAACGGCCGGACTTGGGCTTTCTCTGGGGCCACTTCCCATTAGTGTCCACCCCACACTCATTAAAATGCCGCCACATGTCTCTGTAGCTTCTGCTTGTGGGTCTGTGTCTTTCCTCTCGAGAAGGCCATGGCGTGGGTCAGTGTGTGAGAGGATGTCTGCTGGGAAGTTTTTGTCAGTAGCACAGAGATAGAGAGGACGTAAGAATCATGCATTTGTGTGGGAGGAAAGTGGGCAGCGGAAGGTATAGTATCAGTGATGTAGGTGAGGAGCCCTGTGGTCTGCGGCTCGGCCTGCTACCTGTGGCCCTGATGCTGTCTTGTTCTTAAAAGCGTGAGAAGAGGGTAGATCTTACGTTGTGTCCATGTCACAAAAATAGCAGTGGTACAGTTTTTAAAGTCACATGTTCTCGTTTGCTGTTTGTCGGGGAGACGTGTGCCAGCTGTGATGAGCACACTGCCTGGAAGCGCTCTGCCTCTGTGTTGGTCAGGTTGTGTCTGTAGCATCCAGTGGTCTTTCCTGTCACTGTTTCATCACAAGTTAGAGAACGTCTATTTTATTTTTATCTGTTGTTGTTTTCTGTTTTGCTTGTCAGTCCTTATTTTAAATGCATGTTTTGAGTGAACTACTTTGTACAAAGTCCTATGGCCTCTTGGTTTCAGCTGGTGTCGGCAGTGGGGTATCTCCGCTCGAAGAGCATCCTTCACCGGGACATCAAGGATGAGAACATCGTCATTGCCGAGGACTTCACCATTAAGCTCATAGACTTCGGCTCCGCTGCCTACTTGGAAAGGGGCAAGCTGTTCTACACCTTCTGTGGGACAATCGAGTACTGTGCGCCTGAAGTTCTCATGGGGAATCCGTACGTATTGCACCACTTGACCTCGTCATCTGTGAATTTTAGGCAGGGAAAATGTGTGATGAGAGATAAAGGATGATATTTGGAAAGTCGGCAAACAGGCAAAGGAAGGAAGTTTGGTCAGGGAAGCTGGGCAATGAATACAGGATTCTCTATATTAATTTCTCAACTTTTGTTTATGTGTGCAATGTTATACAATTAAAAGTTAAAAAGATAAAGGAATCCCAAAAGATGGGACTCTCCAAATAAGCAAAGAGGAGTCTTGTTTAGTTGGGCTCATTTTGATGACAGGAATAATAATCTGTTCCCATAAAATACGTTGGGCTGGCCGTTGATACAGCAGAGAATCAGTAACAGAGGCAGAGCTGAGGCAGCACCGTGCCAAGACGGCACCTTGGCTGGAGGTGCTGTTGTGTCTCGCTGGGAGAAGCAGGTCCTGGGGGTGCGGGCTGCGCTGGTGTCTGTTCGGGAAGCCTAGGGGCTTTGGGGCAGCCTGGGAAGGGCCTGCTCTTGGGGACTCAGGAGAGCAGAAAACACTGATTATTGCTCAGGTGTTGCTGGGGGTGGAGTGCAAACAGTTCTCAGTATTGTCTGCTTCACATACACGAATTTCCATGTCATCCACATATAATGAAGTGGACTTATTTTGGTCAGATCCAGATAGCAGGCACTTCCTGCAGCACCTACACGTATGTCAGGTCTAGGGAGACTGTGTCTGGAGGTGCCTGTGACTAGGACAGATGTCAGTGTTGTGTGGGCCTCCCTGCAGTGCTGTGCTATACCCTCAGAGCCCACCTCTGGTCCTGTTCTGATGTGACAGGTGTGTGGGGACATTCAGCCAGACCTGGTCAGAGCCAGATTAGAACCCAGGTGGCCTGAGTCTGGAGCATTTGCTTATGGGCACTGCTGTCTCTGTGCCACGCCTCAGGCTCCCAGAAATCTCCCGGCATTGGTGTGAGATGTGACTGGCACTCTGTCACAGTGTCTGCTCAGGTCATGTTTCATTTCAGAGTCAGGCAGAGAGGACTGCAGGATGCTCACGTGGAGTCTGCTGCCCTCCTGATCCACACGCCAGGCTGGCCCTGTGAGCAGAACTACCAGGCTTTTTGTCCATAGCAGAAGGCGGGGGGGTGGCTAAATAAACCATCTCCCTGTCACCTCTGTGCACATCTAGAGCCACAGACAATGACATACTTACGGAGGATCATCTACGAAGAGCCTTTAAGATATAATTTGGTTACCCTGGCACCCCAGAGTGCCAGTGGCTGTTGTCCTGTCGTGCCCATCATGACATCAGTGTTGGAGGGGCCTTTGTGTCCACAGGACCGTGAATGTGCCGGTGGGTGGCTTGTCTGCCCCACTCTCACCCCATGCCTTCCTCCCACTTTCTCCCGGTGGCCCCACCCAGTATCATTTCTGCTCCTTCCTCCCCAGCTAGGCTGCAGGTGTCCTCAGAGCTCCGTCCTCCATCCTGGGTGCTTCTCCCATCTCATGGGCCAAAAGACTTCTGAGCTCTGATTTTAGATCCTATCGTCAGGAGCTTTGCTTCCTCCCGCATCATTTTCATGTCTGTCCACTCAAGGGCTCAGCAAACTATGGTCCTGGGCCATATCTGCCCACTAGTTGTTTTTATAAAGCTTCATTGGCACACAGCCACATGGATTGGCTTATTTATGTCTGTAGCTGCTGCTGTGCTGCCATGGCAGAAAGAAGGGGTAGTGACAGAAGCCGTGTGGCCTGCAGCCCAAATCTACTCTCTGCCATCTCTGAAGGGCACACTGTCCTGTTCTGGAACTGTCTGTGGTTCCCCATGGCCCTGCTGCCTTGCACGCTGCTGTGCCTTCTGTCCATCTCCACTGGGACATCCCCCACACCCCCAGGGGATGCTGTCTCTGATGCCTTGTGCCGTGTGCATTGTCCCACCCACTGGTGGGCATTCTGTCTCTTGAATTAGTCTCTCAGTTGCCCAAGCACCATGGCTTTATGTCTTCTCCCTCTCCTGGCACAGAGCGGTACCTGACCAGAGCAGATGTGCCAGATATTGAGGATGTGGTCAGGAGCATGTCGAACCTCACTGGGCACCATCTTGGGTGATTGGGGACTTGGGGCTCACACTCCTTGACTGAGCTGCTGTGTGCCATGAGTGCTGTCTTCTGTCAGTTACAAGGGTCCGGAGCTAGAGATGTGGTCCCTGGGAGTCACGTTGTACACGCTCATCTTTGAGGAGAACCCCTTCTGCGAGCTGGAGGAAACCCTGGAAGCTGCAATAAACCCCCCGTACTTGGTGTCGGAAGGTGAGCAGGGCTGCAGCTGGCATCCCTCCCTCCCTTCTGTCTCCCAGAGCCTTTGTCAGAGCTGCCTTATTTCCATTTCTCTCATACTTTGTTTTTTAATCATTATATATTTTTATTGATTTTAGAGAGGAAGGGAGAGAGACAGGTAGAAACATCAATAATGAGAGAGAATTATCAATCAGCTGCCTCCCACATACCCTCTACTGGGGATTGAGCCTGCAACTCGGGCATGTGTCCTGACTGGGAATCAAATCGTGACCTCCTGGTTCATGGTTCGATGCTCAACCACTGAGCCACACCGGCTGGGCCATTCCTCTCATACTTTGATTTGAACAGAAGGATGGTTGGGATCTGACTTTAAAATATCACGATAATTCTATTATGATAGAATTATCTAGTATGAGCTTCCCTTTTGGATTACAGGGGAATTAGACATTATTCTGAGAGTTAGGCATTAATGCTTGTGGGTTTGGCTATCAGTGGGAAGGGGGAAAATGGAGGGACTCAAACCCCAGGAGCTCCCATGGAAGGAAGCCTGGGGGTGTCTGTCACACCCTGAGCGCCCCATGAGCTGGCAGTGTGAGCTTGATTTGCTTCTGAAGTGAGGACCAGCATGGGAGGCAGATATGAACTTGGTGGCTGGAAAGGACTTACTGAGTCTGCAGCTGGCCCACAGGATTCTGAAGTCCCTTCCAATCTTGACAGTTTGTGAGTCTATAGTTGTCACTTATTGTTACGAGTATCAAGGTGACTAGTATCTTCATGCATGAAGTCTGTGCCTTGATTCTTTGCTTGGGTTAGAAGCCTGTGTCTCAGGTGGCTATGACACTCACACAGACAGGGGGCTCAAAAAGCAACCATTTGCTTCTCAGTCTTGAGGCTGGGAGTCCAAGGTCCAGGCACTGGCCTTTTCAGCTGCTGGTGAGAGCCTCTTCCTGTGTTACAGACAGCAGCCTGTTCTGTGTCCTCACGTGGTGGAGAGAGGGACAGAGTGAGCTTTCTGGCCTCTCTTACAAGGACATCAATACCATCATGGGGCCTCACCTAATCACCCTGGTCACCTCCCAAGGCCCCACCCCCTCTTACCACCACCATGGGGGCAGGGCTTCAGCACGCGCATTTGAGGGGTCACAGTCAGCCCCCAGTGACCCAGGAGAGGACTGTAGGGTGCTGCTGATCTCTGGATCCTAGGACTCCTGCAGCCCTTTCCTGTCACACCCTGTGTCATTCTGGGCTCTGCACAAGCACAGCCCCTGAGAACAGACCATGGTTAGGGATTTCTGCACAGTGAGTGATGTAGGCAGGATCTCAAGCTCCCAGCTCTCATTTCAGAGGTGACAGATGGCTCTTGTAGCCTTTCTCAAAGCACAGCTGAAGGCCCCATGTGCTGAAAACCTGGAGTTGCTAGTTAAAAATGAGGGTTCCAGGGCCACATGTCCAGTTGGAGGTGCTCCTGGGGGCAGGTAGGACTGTGGTTTTGATGCCCTTCACTTGAGCCCATCCTGGACCACGGATGGTCTTCTGGCCCTATGCTTAGGGTGGGTTTTTATGTCCCCAGATCTCATGAACCTCATGTCTGGGCTGCTGCAGCCTGTCCCCGAACAGCGCACCACCTTGGAGAAGCTGGTGACAGACCCTTGGGTTACCCAGCCCGTGAACCTTGCACACTACACCTGGGAGGAAGTGTGTGGAATAAACAAGCCAGGTATGAGGTGTGACCTATGAACCAGAGAGGGTGAGGAGGTTCCCCAGGCTGCCTTCTGGGTCTGGGGAGGCAGGGTTGCTCCCACTCCATGCTGTCCTGTCCAGGATTTACACCTGTGGAGCAAATGGGGCTTGATTCTGAGGTCCCTGAATGCCACCAGGGTTCAGAGCTTGGCTGTGGTTCTTGGAGGGTGGGGGAGTGCCCATGGACCCTGTGTTGACATGGCACCTACAGAGGAGTTTAGCTGGGGCTTTAAGAGGTGCAGTAGGTAATGATTTGAGTGGGCTGAAGGGAATGATAAGATCACAGATAGGGAGTGCAGTCCTCTGGAGCAGTGGTTCTCAACCTTCTGGCCCTTTAAATACAGTTCCTCATGTTGTAACCCAATCATAAAAATATTTTCGTTGCTACTTCATAACTGTAATGTTGCTACTGTTATCAATCGTAATGTAAATAGCTGATACGCAGGATGGTCTTAGGCGACCCCTGTGAAAGAGTCATTCGACTGCCAAAGGGGTCGCAACCCACAGGTTGAGAGCCGCTGCTCTGGAGGCTCCTGGCAGCACAGCCAAGCAGAAGCAGCTGTATGGTCACTGCTCAGAGCAGGTGGCCCAGCTGGTGTTGATGGCTCTGGTGTAGAAGCCCCACAGCACCTCAGCAGTCCAGGAACTCTAGGTCTTCGCCAGTTGGGTTCTGAAGAGTCCTTCTCGTCTTTCAGTCCTGTCCAGAGAGAAGCAAAGTGTTTGAGAATCATGTGTTGTTAGCATGTGATACAATGTCTTCTTTCTTCAGAAAGTAGAGTCGTGTCCACTGTGAGTCTGGAGGTGGAGAGCAGGAGCCCCAATGAAGTGGCTCAGCATCCGGAGCTGGCGGCGCCCCCTAATGGTCCTCATCCATTCAGGAAAAGTAATTCTCAAGATTGAGCCCAATTCACCTAAAAACTCATGTGCATTTGATAAATGCTAGAACAAAAGCCAGTGGTGCTATATTATTTTAGGTTTATAAAATAGACATGGAGTTCATTTTTTTCATGGCCTTGGGAAAACATTGTAGAGTTCAGTACTATGAAAGGACTTCGAATCTGTGAACTTCTGAAAAGCATAAAAGCATTTTCAAATTCTCTCTTATTTCTGTATATATCCATATATTTTGTTTCCTCTGACTCAGTCTATGCTTATCTGATAGGTAGAATTTGTAGAACTGATGACCAGGGCATTTCATTAATTTATTTCCTTGAACATTTTCCAAATTAAAGCAATTTTGTTAGTAAAAATTACACTGACTTGGACTTTATGAATTCTTGTACAATGCAAGTGTGGGGAGCACTGGCAAGAGGTTTACCTTCAGACAGTTTGGGGGGGGGTCCCTTCCTGGGTGGGAGCTCTTCAGCTTGCTTAGTCTAAGGCAGGGGTCCTCAAACTTTTTAAACAGGGGGCCAGTTCACTGTCCCTCAGACCATTGGAGGGCCGGACTATAGTTTAAAAAAAAACTATTAACAAATTCCTATGCACACTGCACATATCTTATTTTGAAGTAAAAAAACAAGACGGGAACAAATACAATATTTGTATTTGCATGTCGCCTGCGGGCCGTAGTTTGAGGATCCCTGGTCTAAGGAGACTGAGAGTATGTTCTCAGACACTTCCCTTGTGTCCATGCACAGCTTGTTAGAGTTGGCCCACTGTCTGTCCAGGCTCTGAGGTACAGTGGGCTTTGCAGCAGGACTCTGCTGTTCACCCACAACACTGCCCTGCCCAGTACCCACAGACCTCCTGCAGCCAGAAGTCCAGGTCCCCCCTCTTCAGTGATGTGGGGGCATTCCGCCCTGTCACTGTTCTACCCTTGCTCAGGTCCCAGTGTCTCTCTGAAACAATCAGCTAGCTCAAACACTTGAAATCTAGCCTCTATTTTGTATCTGTTGGGAGGGGAGGGATTGGTCAGGGGTAAGAGGAAAGTCTTTCATTTCCTCCCCACCACACTGAGATAGCAGGAAAAAAACAAAACCCAAGACTCTCTGCCCCTTTCCCCCACGTCATTACTTTCTGCAGGTTCCAAATCTCCTCCTGCCCAGAGCCCTCAGGAAGACTTCGGGGGCCAGGCTGCCTGCAGTGTTCCTGTGCTCAGTTTCTAGTGCTCATTTAGGAAGCACTCACTGTGTTAATATTTTAGGACACTCAGATGACAATTCACTTTATTTTCAACTACTAGGATATGGGATTTCACTATCTCCTTCCTTTTATGTATTTATTTTTAAAATATATTTTTATTGATTTTAGAGAGGGAGGAGAGATAAAAACAATGAGAATCATTGATCTGCTGACTCCTGTACGCCCCCTACTGGGATTGAACCCACAACCCGGGCATATGCCCTGACCTGGAATCAACTGGTTCCTGGGTCAATGCTCAACTGGGCTATCTTCTTCCTTTTAGAAAGTGCTGCCCTAGTCTTCCTGCCATCACAAAACACTGATGGGCTCCCCTCCTCCATCAGGGATGGGAAAGGCAGGGTTTTTAGAAGTCTATTCTTTTTAAGTGTGTTGGAAAAAGCTAGTGATGTTTACTCTTCAGAATGAGCTTCTTTATGTTCTAAGAACTGTTTTCAAGAGTGGAAAAAACTCCCCAAATTTATCCTTGGAGTGTTTATGATGCTTTTAACAAAAAAAATTACAGAATGTTTTCTTCAGACAGGTGTGCAATGGGCTTATAATGCAAAGTCCTTCCTCTTCAAGAACTCTTCCTTTTTTTTAAGAAAAAATAATTAAAACTCATCTGACTTGAGGGCAGTAGAAGGTTTGATACTTTAAGAGTGTTCTTTGCAGAAAGAATCCTGGTAGAAAAGTTCTGAGTCTGAGGCTGACATTTTCCTATTCATGTCCCAACTATGAATCCAGAAAGCAAAATGTTCAGAACAAAATGAAGATGCTGTGGACCTTGAGAGCAGTTCCTGCACCTTAGCTGTCCCTTTATTTCCAGAGCTGGAGAACTGCTTAGGTCCCTTGATTATTTCTAGGGTGGGGGTTGCACACAGGATTTTCTTAGGTTTTGGGCATAAAAGCATTACCATAATTTATTTTGAGGTGCTGATAGATGAGTGTTTTAAGAAGAAAGATTAACCTTCCTTTTCTTTGATAAAATTGTTGTCCAAAAAGATATGTCTTAACACTCAGCCCAGTGCCTGGAATCAAATACCTTTTCTCAGTTCAGAAACAAGTAGATAAAACATGAAGAAATGCTTGTAAACTAAGATTTGGGTCTTACGAGTGTGGGATTTAGGCAGCTGGAGACTACACT